TCCCTTTTATTGAGCTGTTCTATTTCTCAAGTTAAAAAGTATTAAAAGTTATTAACTATATTAAAAAAGAACTTAAAAGTAATCGTTAACTTGAATCAAATAAATAATTTGAATATAATAATAAGGTCTTTTTTATTTCATTAGTTGCTATCAAATTTTACCCTATTTAAAGGTAAATAAATATCTATTCTATTCTATTCATTACACATCATAATTAGTAAGGTATACTGCCCAACTTATTCATCCCATAATAAATAGCAGGCAAAATATAATACTATATTACTATAGACATTAATAAATTAAGAATCTTTGAATCATTAAAGTTGTCAAGTTTATCAGTTTAATTAATCAATTATAATAACCTAAAAAATTTAAGATCCAATGATGTCCAAGTTTATCAATTATTAGAAGTAATGTGTCAATTGTATTAGACAGTCAACAGCTCATTAGGCAATACATTTTAAATTTTAATGCATTATGCGTAGAGTTCAAAGTAATGCAGCCCACTATCTGAATCAAAAATATCAAACTTAAATTTAGGTTTCTTTTCACTTTACTTCTTATACATGTTATCAAAGAAATATATGTTATCAAAAAAGTAAAAATACTTCTGTATATACTTTAATAAGGTCAGTTCTATTATCTTAATTATTTTTACAATTAATAACGCAGTTTCGCAGGACTAAACCTAAATTTAATTTAGTTTGTGCAACGAAATGATCTACCCAACTTTATTATGCTTTTTATTTATTCGATTTTCATTAGTTTTTATAGTTCAGGCAACATAATATTGTAATGCATCAAAATCAAATTGGCATTAAAAAGAGTGCGCCTCGCACTCACAAACTAAAAGTTTCATCAACATAATTTATGCGGGCTACTCGGCGAAGTGGCCCATGCGAAGGCGACCGTTATTTTTTCTTTATTCGTTCAGGATCCGCTCTGAAATTCGGGGCCCGGCTATTTTTCAGAGGGGAAACTTGAATTGTGCAACGCGGTCACGTAGTTTTTTAGCGTCAGACGAGATGCGCCTGAGTTTTAATAATGTCATAGGCAGCTCCCGTCGTTACATATGGATGCCGATCGCCAGCAACTTTCTACGTACACGACATTGTGTATTGGATATTTATTTTCATTTTTCCTTTGCTATATTTTCCTTATCTACGATGAAAAAAAATAACAGTGTCATCGAAAGAATAAGGAACTTACAACAACAAAAGAAAATTACTACTAGTAATAATTTATGAAATATACTTTTAAGAGTGTGTGGCAAATGGGTGTGTGGCTAACAATTTTATTCAGAATATATCACAAAAAAAAATGAAATAATGTTAATATACAGTCACGAAATATTAGGATTGTAATATAATTAACCACCTCAGTTTACTAATCACTTTAAACTTTCATCTTGGATCACAACTCCCTTCGCAGCTTTAAAGGAGAAACATTATCAAGTTAGCATAGATAATATAATAACGAACTGGATTTAGTTACTTCAGTCTACAGTTTCATACTACTTGTTAATTATAAAAATGATTTCTGAATAATAATTGGAGCTTATTTTTTCATGAAAAAAAAAATATTATTAATTTAAGAATTCAATTTGGTAACGCGCTCGGACTGCGATATGAGTATTAAGCAATTCTCGCAAGGGCCGGTCCTAGGATGGGTGGCCAAAAATTTACTATATCGAGCTCTATGCTTCGAAAAGCACGTCACGCCGTTGGTCTCGATTGTATCTGCAATCGTTTACATCCACCAATCCGCAGTAGACCCGTGTTGTTGATCATAGCCCATTCTCCTTATTTGATTTGATTCGATTGAAAACCTAGGCTTCAGTAGTGGATACATCAATCACGAGCCTGGTGATGTGATGCTGTAATGGTATAAATGATCAAATTTCACATTTAATACTTTTCTAGACATTTATTTCTCAAATAGCAATCATTAACCTCCTCAGTTTTATCTCAACTGTTCCGGGAAAAACAATTGAACACAGATTTTATCGAAACTAAATACAATCTTCCAGGTAGTCTTACATGTCATTTTCTTAAAAATCACGTAAGGAAAAATCGTAAAAAGCTTTTAGTATTAAAACTACACTTTGCCTGTAAGGTTAAATTCTTTTTCAGATATGACTGAAATAGCAACACTATCTATGCATTCCATATGAAGAATGAATAAATACTGGCAAAATTGCTCGCAGTCACGAGCATCATGACCGTTTGTATGCAGACCAATAAATCGCCAGGTGAAAACAAACGCCATTATGATTCGTGGCATTTCTTTACGGAAATCGCCATGCGCTTCTGGTCACCAAAAATTCCTGCTACGTCAGGACACAGGATGTAGTAAAGAAATTGTTTCCCTTGTTCAAAGATAAATATAAAATTTTTCTGTCACGAATGATCAGCACAAAATAAATGATTCCGCACTATCGACTGTCGATTATGATATCAAACATATTGGCTATCTAGGTCTTCATTATTTACCTACAACAATAAGTAAATAACGATAACAAACACATTTGAAGATACTTGAAATATTTTATTTAAAACAATGTATCAAAATATAAGTCACAACAAATATATAATAATAATAGATAAAAATCTTTAATTTAGTATAATGTACTTGCGTCTTACACGCTCTAAAACCAGTGTGCATATTTGATGGATTGGTCCTATTTTTCCTAAATCATAGTCATCCTACATGACGGTAAATTCTTTTTTCAATCGCTGCTGACAGCTTCGCCGCGGGCGTTTGTGCACTGGAATAGGGTTTACTGCATGGTTTACTATGTCATAGCGTACGTCAGTAGTCGACGCCAGTTTTTCACAAAGATACTTTCATATGGAGCAGTTTTATACCAATACCCATAGTCATACCATATTATTAGATCACATTGTAATCTTTTATTTGATTGTGAGTTTTTTCAAGTTAACATGTATATAAATAATTTTATCTCGGTTGCCTAGCTAAATTAGGGGCCATTACTCTTACTATCCTCTCGTCTGTTATTCTACACTGAGAGCTCATGTTAAAAATATGCAAGAGCTTCCTAAATTTTGATAGTTCAGTATGTTGAAATACTTAGTCTATCATCAGTGCGGTGGTCAGGCGCTAGAAAACTTCGTGGCGGAGGCGTAAAACACACTTCTAACGATTAATGAATATGTTTGTTCCATTAAAGTCTGAGTATTTTTTGAACAAACTACTTATAGTATTCTTAATGAAAATGCCTAAAAAAGAGCAGTCACCCGAAAGTTCATGGGTTCGAGTCCCATCTCAGAGAGCCAGCGACCAACTGAATGTTGTAAGCATTTTAAGAATACAAAATAGATCAAATTTTTGTCTTTATCGAAAGTATAAATATTTATAAAAATATTATTTCGGTTTGGGTAGATTACCTGAACGTTGATGAAAATACGCTCTGTAGTAGCGAAAAAAGCAACAAGTGCTTGAATAACTCGTCAGTCCTGTTAGGTCCTGGGTAGCTCAGTGGTTAGAGTGGGTTGTGAAAGGTCATGGGTTCGAGTCCCATCTCAGAGTGCCAGGGACAAAGTGGACTTATAGCATTTCTCATTAAGAATATTTTTCATTATTGCATTTTAAATACAAAATCTATCAAATTAAACAAACTCCTAAAAATTTTATAATAAATAAACTTTTATCTTTTACGACTCTTTTTCGGAGAGCTATTTAACACTAAATTTTGTGATCTACTAAGTCGCTGCGTTTCACGTTTGTGAAATGAGCAACCTAGTCTGTTTTTTTTTTAATATTAAGAAGAAGTATTTAGATAATTTCAAATTATTTTATCTAAAAACTTGCTACGATTGCCCCGCTTCCATCAGGTTTTACCAGCGTGTGACACTCCCGCATAAAATAAAGAGTGCTGTTTACCCTTAGTACTTCAACATCAAGCCTTAGAAAGCTCTTGCACCTTTTCGTCACGTCTTCTTAGACTATTCATGAAAACTAATACCTGTTACCTTCTAGCTTAGTCGGATCTCCATCATTCCATACAGTTCATATTGCTAGCTCATAATAAATATTTGTTACTAGCTGTTTTACCACGACTTCGCGCGCGTATATGTAAACAAACAAATTGTCAAATCTTTCCTCCTTATAATATTAATATAGAAGTATAGGCAATTTGGATTTCAAAGCTATACCAATGCCTATTACCAATATCATGCATAAAAAAAATCCGTAGCCAAAAGGCTCGTACGCCAGTGCCAAGATGTCCTCAGAAATGGGATCCCGGTTTCGATTCTAAGAATATAGAAAATGGACTCTTCTATATTATCTTAGATCTGGTCTGGGTATTGTGGTGCCTTCATTATTTGAAAATTTCCATTTAATTCAATTTAATTTGGTATAGACGTTTATTTATATTTTATGTAATTGAAAATCAAGAAATGAGTCTTTAATTTATAAAAGGTTTGACTACACACACAATAAAATGAAATAAAATCTTCTTAGAAGTCAAGTTTATATGGGAGTGCCTAGATTTTAGTTACATCCTAACATTAGTTTAATTATACATGAATAACAAACAAATACAGAAACTATGTTAATCTTTGTTAGTTAAACAAACTCACTTCACCGTTCGTCGGAATAAGTTTTCGACGAAGTTAAATCGTGACATTTCGTTTCAGATGGTTAAAATTCGTTTCCCAAGCTTCAGTTTGATTGTTCTATTTTACTTTTATACTATTCATTTCGCTCCGTTAAAGAATAATACAATCTCCATAATAAAGGAAAAAATAATAGACAGTCCGAAACATCAAACATGTTTTTTTTAAGTAGTTTTAGAGAGATTAGAAAACACAAGAGGTATTTATAATTTTACATATCATGATGGGAAAAATGATTCGCATCAATTTGCATGTGCAAATATGACTTTAAATTACCAGGAAATATCATATGTATGTGATTTTCCATTCTATTTATTTTTATTGTGTAGAGGTAAAAAAATAAAAATACGTTGAACTAAGTTAGAACTGCCCCATTCTTTAACAAACAGCTTTTTCATTTTTTATTATGAAACGGTTATTTACTCGTCAAATATAATTATTGAAATTTGACAGCTTCCTGTTGACAGATTGATCAGAAATTTGGTACACCTCTTTAGTTCTGGTGACAATAAAATTAAACAAATTCTCTTTCATTATTAATCCAAGATGGCCGCCACTAGAAAGTGGCGGCTTACAAATTTTGTCATAACTACTATACGGTTTCAAATGAAAGGGCTTAAATAGTAACACAGTTCACTATATAAAAAAAATGAAATCCAAGATGGCCGTCGTTACTAGTTTATATTAACTGGGAAGATGTTATCAAGAATAGACGCAATACGAGACTGAAGTATATTTATTTGTTATTCAGATACCCTCAAATACACATATATACCATTCTCCCAGCTTTAATTACAAGTTATTTTTTTATGCTGTACGAGAATGACAGTTTTCTTACCAATACAATTTAATTACATTTACCCTCTCCCGATGTTAATTAAAGATACTAATTAAACACTGAACAGTTTCCATTTATTTCCAACTTATTATCTTAGTACCTATTACAGAAGAAAAACATAATTTTAAGTACTTACCAATTTAAACGTGAGAATTTAGGATACAAAAAAAAATAAAAGGTGTTAAAAAAAAACAAACAAAAATGTAACAATATTACTTATGAGTACTTGAAATCAGCATTATATCTAATAATACCTGTATACTATGCAGAATGTAGCACTTAACAATGATTCACAAACAATATCCTGGGCCTTACAATAAACATCATAAAAAGGTTATTTTTAATTATTGAACTACAAATCTTTGTACTGGTTTACGATTTCTTTTCGAATACGATCTTTGCATATTAACGTCTCCTAGCGGCTCAACGGCCTCCGGTACAACATTAGACTGTTCTTGCCCTTTGTGTTCGCTCGCACTCGAAAATTCAGCAGCGTCAACGATATTGTCATCAACTTCATGTAATTTTCGTAACTGATCGACATGCTTTTTAAGATATTTATCTTGGAACCTTACATAATATGTCAAAGGACCCGACCGGTCTGAGACCACCCCCTTTTCCCACGAAAAGCTATTGTTTTTAAAAAGTTTAAAAAATACTTTATCACCTACATTGAACTGTCTGTCACTGCCGTTTCTATACCGTATTTGTTTCATTTGTTTTTGTTTTACAAGTTCACTTGTACTAGGACGCAACAAATCAAATGTAGTACGAACTTGTCTACCTAATAATAACTGTGCTGGTGTTTTACAAGTAATGCTATGTGGAGTTGATCTATATACGAATAAAAATTTCTGTAAAGAATTTTCTAAATCCTGTTTTTCGTACAATGCCTTTCTCAACGCCGTTTTTATTATTTTTACGGATATCACCCACCGATCATCGAGGTCATCATCATCACTCATTTGGTACACCGTCACCCCGTTGGCACATTCGGATTCTGACGAACTTTCCGACGACGCCCGTTCGTCGATGCCGTGAACGACTCTTTGTTTGCGTAAACGACATACCTTAGCAATGTGACCTTTCCTTCCGCACACGTAACACTCACTATGCAGGAACGAACACTTTTCCGCCAAATGATTTCCATGGCACCGGTAGCAACGCTGCCCACCGCTGCCGCCGTCAGCGCCGACGTAGCCCCTGGAGCGGCGCGCGCGGCCTCGAGTCGGGGCGCTGTCGCGCCGGCCGCCCACCGCGTAAACCGGCTCGGCCTGCGCCGCCGCTGCCGGTCCGCCGCCGCCACCCTCTCGTATCACCGCCTCGAGCGATAACGCCAGCTCAGTGGCGCGCGTAAAAGTTAAATCTTCATCTTTCTCCGTCATTATCCGCTGCCTAATTCGATCGCTGCTTAGTCCGTATACGAATTGGTCGCGTAGGTTTTCATTTAAACTGTCGTTTGTTTTAAACTTGCATGCCTTACTCAGTTTTTTTAGATTGACGAAATACTCGTTTAACGATTGATTTTCCACTTGTTTACTGGATCGAAAAATCATTCTCTCGGCAATCACAGAACGTTTCGGTGATAGGTATTCTTCGACGAATCTCTCGATTTCACTAATTTCTACATTTTCTGGATTTTCGGGATAACATAAATCTATTATTAAGTCTAAGGCTTCTGTGCCCACAACCGCTACCAGATACTTAGACTGATTTTCCATTTTAACACTGTGAATTGTGAACCACGCCTTCAATCTACAAATGTACGTTGACCACCTGTCCACATTCAGCTTGAATTCTTTAAAGTTAGTAAAATCTGGTACACCAGTCTTTTCACTCATCGTCGAAACACCCTTATCAGTACTCATTTCGCACAAACAACAGTTTCTTCGTCGCCAAATAGTTTATATTAACTGGGAAGATGTTATCAAGAATAGACGCAATACGAGACTGAAGTATATTTATTTGTTATTCAGATACCCTCAAATACACATATATACCAGTTACATAGTGGTTTACACATTTTACAGGGTTATACTAGTATTGTTTAACTATATTTATAGGATCTCAAACTGGGGTTGGCTCCGGAGCTCTCTCTGCAGAAAAACCTTATATATCTATGGTACCAAGTCTATAGGATCTAAACAAAAAACCAAACAAGTACAATTTTCTTTTTATGTTTTGGCGATTGAGGATTTTAATAAAATGATGCTCGTGGACGGTCACGCATACTATCTTCAAATACTTCAAAAATATAAAACACTATCAAAACATAGATATGTAAGTAAATAGGTTGGTTCAGCTACCGGTCCTCAACAGCGTAAATAAGGAAACTAAAAAGTTAAACATAAATTATGTAAAAACAAATAAACGGTTTAAAAAAATATTCGATAGGTCCCAGGTTCTAGTCATCACACCCCTCACCCTCAACATTCAAAATCATTCAGCAGACAAAAATATAAAATCGTTGGACCCGTGTTTCCATCCAGTCAAAAAAAATATTTTTTGTCTGATCAATACTTTTGATTGTTGAGGGTGAGGGGTGTGATTACTGGAATCTGGGACCTACCGAATTATTGTTTAAATTAAAACATTTCTTATATTATTTAATCTATGCAAAAGAAAGATCTTTTAAAAAAAATATTGTTTCAAAAGACCAATTAACAAAAACCGAATTGGTCCACTCATTCTGAAGTTTAACGACTGGTTTTTATATAAAAGGTTATATAAGATAATATAAGCATTTTTATGATGCAAATCTGTATGTAATTGATTGTTTAAGTTTGTTCTTGAAACTATTTCAAATCCGTATACTTTTAACAGAATTTAATTCTCATCATTTCAACTGGAAGAGGTTCACTGCTGGTTCTTCGTAATAATCTAATAAAGAAAACTATTATTAACAAAATGTCGCTATGTATTTTGAAAGAGCTCGGTGGCGTAGAGAATAAGCGCCGTGGCCCGCGATCGTTGTTGTTAAGCAACTTTCGCAAGGGTCGGTCACGGGATGGGTGACCAAAAAATTATTATCTCGAGCTACTTCGTGCTTCGGAAGGCACGTTAAGCCGTTGGTCCCGGCTGCATTTGCAGTCGTTAATACCCTCCTCCTCCTTAACCATCATCCTCCTTAACCATCCATAAGGAAGGCCTGAGCCCCTGCATGGGGACGTAAAAGGGCTGGTGATGGTGATGATTTTGAAAGATATGTAGTTATTACAGAATCAACATTTTTTAAGGAGCTAGTTTTTTGTTTCTTTTATTAATTTAGTGTCAAAATAGTAGTATATGCAACTGTCATATAAGAAGGGGTACTAAAACACGAGAATCTGTTTATGATAATAGGTTGACTTAAGTGATTTAATACCTAAGTTATATGCAGTTGCATACACTACTTTATCTTCACTCATAGGAAAAATTGAAATTAAACAAAGTAGGTAGGTTATACCAAGGAAGTAGTATATAACAAGGAAGTTATTTTTTGGAATCCCTAATACAAAAACACGATCGGCAATTTTTTTATTAATTTCGGATTAATTTACACTCTGAAATAAGTGGAAATTAATCCGCTCTGTTATTGATGAATTACACGTTATGTTGAATATATAAAAATAAAGTATCAAAGCCTTGAGAAATTCGACACTCATTAAGGTATATGGTAGCATTGATTGTAGAGCTCTCGCCCGGTTTACGAAAGGTAACGACTTCAAGTTCCATCCCGTCTCGGGGTTACAAGTACAGGGTAAGGTAAATAAGCAATTTATTTCTGTCACAGCTAAATTATTATTATTTCTTACTTTATGGTGACCTTTCATATAACAGAATGACAAATTACCCGTCAAGCGTGTGTGGGTGTTGAGTAATATCAAATTATCACAGCTTGAACTTAGGACATTTAGGCTAAATTTATATGAACGTGTCGTTTAAGATAGAGCAATACAGTATAATATCGTAAATCAAGAGAAAGCCTAAAGCTGGAACGTAATAATATATCCTCCCAGGGTCCTTGCATCTCATCTGTCATTGAGACAGAGTCGGAAGTGTTGTAATAGAAATTAATTCTGATTCTTGTTTATTTTATTAACATGCTAATTTTTAACACGTTATTAACACCCTTATGGATAGTCGCGATTAATGAAATCTTTAGATTCGCATCCACCTATGAAAATTAACATTAGCTGTTAGCACTGCGGCTTGAAATACTGTACTGGTACTGGGTATATTTTTTTCACATGAAAGCAGCAGGTCGGGAGTGTTGGCGATTTTATGCGATGATGTTTATTGAATAAACTACTTTTTAATTTTAATGGTTTAATAGCTTTTGATTTTTTTATCAGAAAATCATTTTTATTTTTTAATTTTATCTTATTTTTATTAGTATATTTAGTTTACTTGATAAAAGAACTAAATTTACATAAATATATGTTTTAATCAATCAGTCGTAGTTTTATATTAAATATTCTTAATGAAAAATGCTTAAAAAAAGCCCCAGGTACTATGAGATGGATATAGAACCCACGAACTTTCGCTATGACCTTTCGCTATCCGGGCAAAAGTTCGTGGATTCGAGTTTTTCATTAAGTATATAAAACTATGTAGAAACTCGTCTCATTTACACGAGTATGTATCTTTTTGCTGTTTATTATTTTTATACCTATTTACGTCAAAAAACTTGATCCAGATTTGTGGATAATTCTTATATTAAATGCGTTTAGAAAATCTGTTTTACAAATGGTTGGCGACAGAGAAATTTGCTTTTGTTCCTAAGAGGAAAGATTTATGAAAATAAACGCGAAATCTTAGAAGGATTTTATATTTTGTTTTTTCTTTAGGAAAATGTCGAAGAAAATATAAAAAGAGCCTAGTAACATTTAGGGTGTCGTTTGTAAGTTTCTTGTAGTATAATATGAAATATTGTTTCATTCTGATTAAGTTTTTTGACAAACAGATGCAATAATTGGGTTCAAATTGAGTAAATGACAAATATTCTTAAAAATTTTAGTTCTCAAAGATATTTTTACGACTTATAAAAATCAACGCCAATGAAATTCACAATCCGACTTTTACTTAATAAAATTACGAAAATCAACCAATAACAAAAGACACACACTTCACTAATTTAAGTCACTATACTTCACAACACGTATTCGCTTTCGTATTCAGTTTGCTAGTCACTGAATAAATGACGAGACGGGTAATACACCGCGTATTTATAGAGGCCGATTCCATATCTAGAATATTCAAGACTAGTACCTAGAACATTCTAGCCTCGGCTTTACCGGTGTATTCGAGGCATTACCAAAAGGTTCTGGAACAAATGCCAGTCCCTTTTTTCCCCAGTGACCATCCCTTTCACTTATATGATACATGTAGTTTCGACAATGTTAGCGCGATTTGGCGCATAACGCCATCTTACGTGTAGACGAACCGCGCCGTTGCACTCCTTAACAATATGTAATACTCATGATAAAATTTCTGCGGAACTACCTACATGGCGTTTATATTATTATTATTATTTTTAATAACATTCAAACAAAATAATGCTCAATTTATAATGACGTTTTATTTACTTTCAATAGCTTCTAGGACGCAAAAACATCGATGTGTTCACACCAAGATGGGTATATTTATATACTCGTAAGTTACTTGGTTTACTGGTATTTTCAATTTTGCAAACATATAATAAAACAAGGCGAAAGTTTGTAGGATTTAATGTTTTTTTACTTCTTCAACTAAAAACTACTGAACAGATTTTATTGAAATTTGTTATACGGATAATTAACATATAGGATACTTTCTATCACACTAAATGTGTCCCTAGGCATAACTAAACTGCCAAATTATCATACACGTTCGAAACCGGACTAAAGCTAGTAATTATATAATTATTTTAAAGTGGGATACAACTTTTAAATTTCCCGATTTGAATTTAAATCGTGAAATATTGAAGAGAAGTTCAAAATCAATTACGGAAATTAGACATATTCTGATAATTTGCTATTATAGTTATTTACGTGGTTGTACACGTGCACCGACACCATTTCAGTTTCACCAAAAATGGCACAGAAGAGTAGAAGTACCCATGTAATAATAATAATAATTAATTTTATTATACGAGACTTTAATTTCCCTTTTTCCCCTCAACAGGAAACATTTGGTTTTGCAAGTATTTAGATTTACATATTATTCCAAAAGCAAATATATATAACGGCGGGTAGTCCGAAGGGGCTGTTACGAAGCCCAAATAGATCGTCCATATCGGAGGACTATCTTTAAAATAACACTGCAGGCGTGTATACCAACGTGGATTTGTTCCATTTTATCACTTTTCTTACGAAAATATAACGAGATGAGCGTGATGTCATCTGATGTCTTTACTCCTCGGCGATTGGAAACAGAATGTGTGCCAAAATGGCGGCAACTTGGTTTTTATAAACGAACTGTCAAAGTCAGTGTCACCATTCTAATAAACTTAAAAGAATCGATGATCACGCTCTCTTTACAATCGAGTAATTAAGTAATCGAGTAACTAGCAATTAAAATAAAAGAAACTAAATCAAACGATCTTCGTAATGATGATGCGACACGGCCATTTTGGGAGACGGTGCGTGCTCTGCGCCAGTCCCGTTTCTGTAACAAAATAGAAGAGCTTTTCTGAGCTAGGTATCTGTAAACCTAGTCATTTGGGAATTTTGATTTGAACTAGATTTCGACCATCATTTTT